CCTGAGTTTATTAACACCTAATTAACATCAGCCTCTTGGAAGTATCATATAGGAAGTTTGGGTTTTTTAGCATATTTTAATTAATTAATTGATGTTTATTTTGATTAATGTTTATTCTGTTTTTACTGTAAACCACCCAGAGTCACTCTGCAGTGAGATGAGTGGTGACAAATTTGAAATATATATAAAAATAAAATAAAAGGCATCATTCCTGCCTTTCTTTTTGCAAAAGGACATTATTAGAAATTATAGTATTTTAGTAGGGAGAATGAAGGAGGCCTCTGTAGCAGAAAATAAAACAGTGCAAAGTAGTTCAAGCAGGATGGTTTCATACTGGAAGTAAACTACTCTGTGGCATTACCTGCATTACAATCTGAAACAAAATACTGACATGTTTAAATATCATAACTGTCAATCAAGCTCTGTGGGAATCATAAATCTGTATTGATTTTCTTACATTAATGCACCTCTTTTTACCCAGTAATTTCCAAGTAGCTTTACTTGTTGAATTATTTTTAAAAGACCTTGTTAGTCACCTTGCATGATCTTTGACAAAATAAGATAAGATCTACATTAAAAAATAATAATACATTGGGTCAAAACCGGCAGTGTGGTTTAAAACCAGGAAGAGTTGAGATGTTCTTAATAAATAAATCTCAATGCTTAGAGACGCTATAATTCCCAGAATTTCTTCCTCATTTATTGAGAAATAATGGGTAAATTACTACTACTTTATTGGGACTGAGGAATACAATTATGGTTTCCATTCAGAGGGAATAAAGGGCGGTAATACAGATCAGCCCAATCAAAAAATGTCTGCTTTCATTTTAAATAAACAGCATAAAGACCTCATGGAAGTTGGGGTAAACTTTAAAAATGTCATGAAAATCTCATAAACTGAAGATGCTACGAGTTAAACATTTGAGGATTCAGTACTTTTCTGTAGTTTTTTTTATCCTTCCCCTGTGAACAGCAGAAGCAGAAATAATTATTGACCTGTTTCATTTAAATTAATGTAAATGTATTAATACATGCATACATGCGCACACATAGAGAGAGATTGCAGAACTGGATTCTTCTCAGTGGGAAGGTTATTAATAAATTTCACAATTGTTATTTTGGCTACTAGAGCTCTTTGACTCATAACGAATAAAGGTCTATTTCCCACTGAAGGTGATTTTTAGGTGACGATTGTGGCTACCATGTATACAATCTGATTAAAATGGCTTTGCTGTGCTAGGTGTCATATACATACAATGAAATGCCTTTTACAGCTTGTGCTTGGTTTTTCACGTGGTCAGTTGTCACTGGGTGAATCGGTCCGATGAAGCTGGACCAACTGGATTCCTTTTTGAATCCAGGCAAGTGTGAGTTCATAGGAAATAAAACCTGGAGACTCTTGAAGGCTTGTGCGGCTTAAGTTGTTTCCACCTGAAATATCCCAGAAGATCAGAGTTCAACTCCTTGTAGCGTGTTCCACACTGAAGATAAGACCCAGTGAATTCCATGATGGTTACAGCCCATGAAAATGTAGGGTTGTGGTCTTATTGACATACCTAGTAAGCGTATCAACGCTCTTACCCTTAGTTACAACTAAGGCTGCAGGCCTGTGCTGCCTTCCATGAAAGCTAACTATTCATTGTGACTTGGTCTTAGTAGATATGATATAAATACAGATGTAAATGTAGGTAGAGTCAGAGAAGCACATCTGACCTGTTACACATCCTGTTGAAAGGTGGTGTATTCAGTTCCAGCTATGCATCTCATGTTCACCTCTTGCTGACCTTTCTGTCTCATTTTTCTCCCATTGGGCTGTTTCTCCCTACCCCTGAAATTGACATTGCAAGCCACTGGGGATAAGGACAACAAAGCCTTTCCAATTGATCATCCTCTCCCCCCACAACTCCCCAGCCAGCATGGACGATAGACATGTCTGGAGGTAATAGAAGCAAGAAGTGTGTTTGTCAGATTAGCATAGTCTGTACAGTCCATCACTTACATGCATCTTGCAAACAATGCTAGTTTGAGGTGGACCTTGCTCTACTGTTTTGCTCTTAAGCAAGAGGATATACCTAGTATCCTATTCAGGGTATTTAGGCTGTTAACTATTAAGAGATTCCCAAGTCTGCATGCTTGCTTTGCAGATTTATAACATGCTGGTTGACCATGGGAATTGTAACAAAACAACATATACGAGGCATGTCCCTTGCCCTGGTTCTAGAGGCTTTTAGGGTAGATTGAATGATAGAGAGCGGCAGTGCTCTATATGTATGTGCTGTGATCAGAGCTTAGGACTACAAAATGTATACATGTTATAAACTCAAAATTATATAAGATACCCATTTTGCAAAATGCCCCAGGGTCCACGATGCATATAAAACTGGCAGGTTGTTAAAAATATTTCTGTTTCCTTCTGCTGGCTGAGGAAAGGGCCAAGTGGGATACTGAAGCTCTAACCTTTTGCTACCGTGCCCACATTAGAGACATTGTCAAGGTTTGTAATGCACTTTGGGGAGCTTCAGAAGCATTTGAAAATTGCTTTGACAAAACAGCAGAGGTGGTTCAGGCAGTTGAATATTGTGTTGAATCCTACAGTATCATAGTCCTGGGATATATTCTGAAGGTAGCTGCCCCTTTGCTGAAAGAATAAGTGGTTGCTTGGGAATCCTAAGCAAATTTAGCCTTGCCTTTTACTATTAAAAATGTGAGATCTAAATACAGAAGGAATAGTATATTCCCACCCAATTTAAATCAGCTTTCCCCAAGCTGTTGCCTTTTAGGTGTGAACACTGCTGCTCCCAAAAATGCCGACTAGGGTGGCACTCAATTTGATGGATTAAGAATTTTGGAAATTGTAATTGCCATACATGTGGAGGCCACCAGATTGTTAGAGCCCGCTACAGAGGTCTGCTTGGAATAGAAAAAATAGATGGAAAATTTGAGGCTGTGCAATCAAGGATTGGTGGCAGTCCAGTCCAAGGTAAAAGGACTTTTCCTCCTGATTTCAACAAGAGAGCTATTTGCATAGTTATCTCTTAAAGTGTCATTTTAAAGGGCTTCCCTTGAGTTTGATCATGTCAGCAGTCCAAGCAGAGAAGCCCATTTCTTAAATGTGAAAAGCCTAGCAGGGTTATAATATAAGTAACAAGAGACAAGCCGTTTCTGTCCATGTTTAATCAAAATGTAAGTTCCATTGATTTCAGCAGATTAAATAAGCATGAGCAGGACTACAACTTTACAGAAGGTGATGACACCAACATGGCAGGAGAGGAGAGAAAAATGAGTCACACAAAGGAGTCCAAAATAATCTAACTTAAATGTCCAAAGCTCCCCTTTGGAACTAGCACTTCTTCCCCCTCATACATCTCCCCCTATAATTTTGTCTTCCTGTACAATATATGCTGTAGGTAGCCTTTCTGGGTTGGTTAGGACATGAATGTGTAAAGTGGGTCACAGATGCTCCCTCCTCTCAAAGAAGGGTTATTGTAGGACTTTCCTGAATAGGACAACTTCTGCCAGGATGGACCTGCCATTCATAAAGCACCTCTTCATCCGAAGGCCAAGTGGTGTGGTGGTTTGCCATCGCCCAGCCTTGTCCCAGGATGCTTTTTGCCACTTCAGCTTAAAGAGAGGCAGGAGGCTGGTGCTTTGCAACATGTCGGCTTCCTGTTCTTGAAATTAAAAGAAAAAAACATTCAAACGGAGGCAAAGAGTTTGCAGACTTTGCTTGGCCTATAGGGCTTCCTGCAGATGGAATAGAAACTGACGTAAGGTTGCCGATTGCTGTTTTCTTTTGCAGTAGCCCTGGGCCCCCTGTTCCCAGACACGCTAATGCTGGGCCTGGAGCTCCGCGTGAAGGTCTCGGATTATGTTTGTGACCGAATCCAGTCGCTCAGAGCCTCTCACCCTGGGCAGTTCCAGAATATTGCCTGCGTTCGCAGCAATGCTATGAAGCACCTGCCCAACTTCTTCTGCAAGGGACAGGTGAGTCCCTGAAGAGCACCGCTGGGGATCCTGCAGGGAGCAGAGCCATCTCAGAGCCCTGAAACATGCTTCTGTGCTGGCATGGAAGGTGGTCTTCTCCCACCCTGTTTTGCTTTGGGGAGTTTTGATCTCAGGGATCTTTGGGATGGCTCACGGGAAGGCACTGTCGTCTTTTAAAAGGACATCTTATATACAGTTATCCTGCACTGACTTTCCAAGGCATCAGGTAGAAGCTTTGGACAACTCTGTTGCCCGAAGAATATTCTAATCTACAAAGTTAGGATTGAGTCTGGAAGAAGCTTCCAACTGGTCCTGCGGTTGAGGGGCAGCCTCATTCGAAAGAGAGAGAGGATGAATGCTCTTTATAGCTTCAGTAACTGAATGTTGTCTGAATGCTGAGTAGGAGAGATGGGGTGCTGAATGACAGCTGGTCCAGGCAAACCTCTTCCATGCCTTGTCTCTTTTCTTACCTCTCTAGCTCCTCAAAATGTTCTTCCTCTTCCCTGATCCTCATTTCAAGAAGACAAAACACAAGTGGCGGATTATCAGCTCCACTCTGCTGGCAGAATATGCCTACGTTTTGCGCGAGCAGGTGAGCAAGGGGTATTTGGGAGAGCTTAGCCCTCTCCTAGCCCTCCCCAAGAGGCCTATGCTTACAGTCCAATAAAGTTACTCAGCCAAGATTTGTACTCAGTTCCTCCTCTGTTTGCCTGCATTTCGGGGGCAGTTTTGATTGTGGCATAAAAGAAAACACAAGAACTTCTTTAGAAAGCTTCCTTACTGGAGAGCTTCTTCCCTGCCATAGGTGTCCAAACAATTTTATGATAGGGAGACCTGCAGATGCCTCTGGATTACTAGTTTGCCTACTCCAGTACTAGCAACTCTGAGTTGAAGAGTTGAGGTAGTTCCTGACAGTCTTGGGCACAAGACGTCCCCAGTGCTGCTCTCTAAGGTTATTTAAATAGGTGCCAACAGTTTGCGGTCGTTCTGAATGCAAAGTGTATACAGTATCATTGTGCTAGCCAGTTGCCATAAAAGCCGATGCAGACAATTGGTCCTTTTAGTTAAGTTCGATCTATTTTGGGGCAATTGTATCTCTTTGAGATATTGGGAAGTAGCGCTAGCTAGAATGGAAGGGGTTAACTCTGAAGCTAATTTTGCATATGACTGTATGTCACCATGGAGTTGGGCATATTGTCAGGCCAGCCCAAGAACAACGATGAAACAGTCCAGTCAAGTACAGTTCCTTTATTTGCTTACACCTTATAGACAGAACCTTGCCAGACTAAATCTATACTACAGCAACTAGTGGATATACCCTGGGAGGTTCTAGGGAGTGGCTCTCCTGAACCTCTTGTGCTTCCTACGCTCCCTCTGTGGACTTTGCTGCCTTTTGCCTCCTCCCCCTTCCTGGAAGGCACCCCCTCCTTCCTGATAGCCTTGATCTCCTACATCACTCTCCTCCTCATAGATACATTTCATGACAGATATACTTCCAATAAATAAATGTAGACCAAGTGGCCAATTTTGACCACACAGGATAGTGCGGAAAAACCATATCTCAGACAAACAGCGTCCATATTTTGATTATAGAGGATCCAAACTCATATTTTGTTATTGACCCAGAAGTGGGCTGTATTTTTCAGATTACACTGCACTTTTCATTCATTCATTCATTCATTCATTTTCATCATTTGGGGGAATTAAGAGAACACATGATGGTGACACTGTAACATCAGTGGAGTAGAAGGACTAGACTTTTTGGTCCTTTTTAAGTTTTTGTTTGAGGTGATGTGACAAAATAGGTTCGTTAAACCTACCACCTTAAATCATCCAATAAAAGGCAGAAAAATTGCATTGCCCAAAATAGCCATTGTATAGCCAGATGTCAGCAGCGGGGTCCTAGAAGATTTTAAAGACCACGTGGACTCCTTAGACAGGCTCCCAACCCTTGACAAATGAAGAGAAGGAATTCCTGCTAAATCCTTGAAGAGCCAGCCACTCCCAGGCAGAGTTAAGCAAGGGTGAGCAAATGGTAGGTCACAGGATGACTTGCTGTTAAGCAGTAACATTCCCAGTTATCTAACAATAGACACAATTAAGATTTTCCTCTTAAATCGGGTTACTGGAAAAAGATAGGAGGAATATGACTGTATATTTGTACTGATCATTCCTAAGTGTCTACAGTCTTTGGAGATACACTGTTAATTTTTACCACGTATCTGTCCATCCAGACAGCATTTTTGGCTTCACTAGATAATGGAGTGAAAGCCAGTTTGCTGTATTGGTTAAGGCATCGGGCCAGAAGCCAGGAGACCCTGAGTTCTAATCCTGCCTTAGGCATGAAGCCAACTGGGGGGCCCTGGGCCAGTCCCTCTCTTTCAGCCCCAGGGAGAAGCCAAGGGCAAACCACTTCTGAAAATCTTGCCCAAAAAACTAGAGGGACTAATCCAGGCAGTTGCCAGGAGTCAACATTGGCTCAAAAGTACCAAAAAAAAAAAAAAAAAGCAACAGAGTAGACAATGTTGTATGAGGTGGACAAATTTGCCTGGATCATCTAGAACAGCTGTGTATAGTTCTGTGGTCATGTTAGCCCTTCATGGAATGCTACCCTCTCCAACATCACCAACTGCACCCCTTCTAATATATCTATAGTTCATATTATACAGTGGTACCTCGGGTCACGAACTTAATTCGTTCCGCGACTCTGGTTGCAACCCGAATCAAATTTTCCCATCAGGTTCATTGTAAA